GGGGGGGGGGGGGGGGGGGGGGATAGGTACCGGTACTTCAATTTTGCTTTGACCGCAATCAATCGAAACGAGTTTTATCATTTTATTTCTTTTCCGCATTTGGTCTAAGTGGACTGACTAGATAATATGTTGTCTTCCAGGGAGATGTCATAGCTTTAGTGAGGAAAGTAGACGCCAACTGGTACGAAGGAAGAATTGGTGATAGAAAAGGCATAGTACCATCAAGTTACTTAGACGTTTTTAGCGAACCGGAAGTTAAAGGTATGTTTGTTCTTGAAGAGGCAGCTCACTATGTCAAATTTTTTTGTTTTAAGAAGTTGGGGCAGGTTACTATACATTTTCGTTTGAATAAAATACGGCTGCAAGGTGTTTGGTGGAAATCGGATACTGTAATGAATAACGTCGTGAGGGAAGCACTTACCAAAATTCGTCAAGCCACATACAATTGGTTTTTGGAGCAACAGTCAGTTGGTTGTTGAATTTAATCGGGAACTGCTTTGGTTTTGCTTTTCTTCGTTCTATGATTGGTCAAAAAAATCACGCCACTTTATCAACCAATCAAATTTAAAACTAAACCCAGTCGCGTCTTGCTTGACCGCGTTTTCCCGCGCTGCTGGCTGTTGACTTATTTTTACTTTGATTTCTCATTGACTCCTCAACCAATCAAATTCAAAACTAAAACCAGCCGCGTCTTGGTTGACCGCGTTTTCCCGCGCTGCAGGAAGTTGACTTATTTTTACTCTGATTTCTCATTAACTCCTCAACCAATCAAACTCAAAACTAAAACCAACCGCGTTTTTGTTGAACGCGTTTTCCCGCGCTTCGCACAGTTAACTTGTGTTTACTTTGATTTCTCATTGGTTCCTCAACCAATCAAATTCAAAACTAAAACCAGCCGCGTTTTGGTTGACCATGTTTTCCCGCGCTTCAGGCAGTTGACTTATTTTAACTTTGATTTCTCATTGGCTCTTTCTGATGTCTCTTTATTGTGATTGGTGGTTCAGATTTTTTTGGGTTTATATTTTACGACACTCAATGGACATGCGCTCCATTTAAACCTGTTTGGTTGAAAAAGCATCACGTCCGCTCTGATTGGTAAAGCTGTCGTTGCGTACTTCAGTATTTGTGTTTGGAAAGTTAGCCAAAATTGAAGACAACCCTAAAGATCGTTTGGGATTGTTTATCATTAAAATGAGCTGGCAGTTAATCTTTTAATCATGACAGACCGGACGTTTTGTTTGTGGTATTCACGACTGCTTTCTTTCATTTTCCTGCAGTCATTCGTCAAGAACAAGTGCAACCAGTTCAGTCAGTCCGTGTGGAGCAGGTAGTGAAATTTTTTTCATGTCGACTTGTAAATTCTCCTTGCTGGTTTCAATAGCTGTCTATGAATTTTAGTCGTGAGAATTTTTACGTCCGTGAGGACGCGATTTCTGAGGAAGTTTGTCACCAGTAAATTGTTTTTAAATGTTAGGAACCGGATTTTGGAAGACCAGAACCTAGTTATGATCACAGACAGCAGCAGTCCAGAAGGTAAGGGTCGGAAATCTTCCAATTCATGACTTATTTATGGTGACGGAGAATACCATGTTGAGGTTTCTTTTTTATTTGGTTCCAGTTCCTCGGGGGTTATGTATCCAAGCCAGGCTTCTCCTCCCAAACACACGCAAGTAAAGTACATCGAGGAGCCAGCGGAGCCTCGTTTTAGTTCTGGTGGTGTGGTCGCGCATGCAATAATTGATGAGCCAATCACAATAGGGCACGAGCAAGGAGAGAGGTATGGTAATACCGCTGCTGTTACTGCCTATAGGTCAGACTTCGACACATGTATGTTGTAACACAGCGCCCTGAAGCTGGTGAAGTGATTGAAAGAGCGCGTTCCAAGATAATTATTGCGGTTTACTCTGTTTCACTGTTTTTCAGGTATCGTGCTTTGTACAATTACGAACCCATAAACGAAGACGAGCTTCGACTTGAAGAAGGTGACGAAGTACTCGTTCTGGAAAAGTGCGATGACGGATGGTTTGTAGGCACATCTTCAAGGACGCATTCATTTGGAACCTTTCCTGGCAACTACGTTGAGAAAGTCCATTAGTGGTGAGTTATGCCAATGTTTGATGGAACTTTCGGAAAATTCTGGTAGCTACATTTCCTCACGTTTTTCATGTGCTTCGGTCACCATTGCCTGTGTTTAAACTTCCAGGCGACGGCCATTTTAGTGGTACACGGTTGATCTATCGGGCACAGCCAACCAGAGAGTAGGATTTCCTTTGCAAATTAGGCACGAGCCAGTTACATGACTGGATTAGCATCCAAGATGGCGACTCAATTTGTCACGCAATCTTGTCACCTTTACCATTCCTTGTCACCGTTGTCGTCATGTGTTTCGCGCTCTTTGGCTCGTAATTTCCCCACTCTTATTAGCGTTTCCTTTTAGTGGTTCACTGTTTTTTCGCCGTTTCCAATGTTGACTCGTTTTCGTGCTCTTTCCTCTGGTTCATGTTTACGCGGGCTACATTTTTAAGGCGTTATCTACTGGTTACGGTTTTCCCACAGCGCGTCTTGTCGCCCTCCAATCTCATTTGATTTTTTTTTTCAACCTTTTTATTTTCGTTAAATAATCGCTCTCCTTCCTCTGGGGGTGACGACCCTGGCATTAAACAAATAAAGCTATTCGTTTTGTTTTTTAGAGGGAGAAGATCAGCGTCGAAACAGTGATGCCCTACCCTCTCTAATGGGAGCTATGGCAGAGCTGTTTATCAAGACCACGCCCATGCTATACAACGCCCTATAGCTATCCGTCCGAGCTGAAAAGATGAAACTTTTATTGATCATGGTACTTTGAAGTTTATATGGATTTTATATATATTTTGAGAATAAGTTGCTACAAGATGGGTTTATCTTCTAGTTCCGTTTTTGTCATGAGAACTGTTTTCTATCCCACATTTGACAACTTTTGTACAGAGCTTTTATCACCAAATTAACAAGAAGTGTAACTACCTCCAAAAGTATCGCAACATGAGTTTGTCAGACGTTGCACGTTTGCGACACTCAAGTCCTGTTTTTTTTTATTTGGTTGCTCTTAATTCCAAATGTCCATAGAAAATGAGGCTATTTTAATCACACTTCTTAGATACACAGAAGGAATTTGTATTTAGGTATTATTATCAATTAGGTATGATAGGAAAAACAATGGTTTTTTTTTTATAACACTTTAGAATTAACCCTTTTAATTCCCATGAGTGACCAAGACAGAATTTCTCCTTACAATATCAATACAATATCAACCAGACAAGTGATGAGAATGGGGAAAAATATCAATTTGGGGATAATTGGTTGATCCAATACTAAATTCTCCAAACTAACATTATAAGAATTGTTTGGTTGACAGTAAGGAGAATTAAATGTTAAAGGGTTAATGACTGTATCTGAGTGACTGCGCACCAACCCCTTCCCTAAACCAACAAAAGTCAACTGATACCGGGAGGGGTAGGTATGCAGTCGCTTAGATACTGACATTGATCCAAGCCTTTTTATCAACTTTCGATTGACCAGGAAATGGAGAGGAGCTTGATTTTTTAAAATTATTTTCTCTCATCTGTACTTCTTTCCTTAGTGTAGATATTGCAAAGTTTCCAAAATAGCGACCCCTGTTACTTGCTTTAGATAGTTAGGCTGACCAATGCACACACTCTTTCCCCAAAACTTTGTCTTCCAATGGTGAGCAAAGGCCTGGGAACAATATCTTTTGTGACGTTGTTATAGGGTAGAATTAACGGGGAAAGCCATAAAGAATTACATGAAGCAAGTAATTAGTGAGTTGTGAAAAAGAATTTTCCAGTTCTTTGAGTCCCTGCCAAGGAAAGTTCTTTTTTAGACGACTCAAACTAACCCCTTACTCTGCAATATTTAGAATTGGAAAGGAAATAATTTAGAACTCAGCATCTAAATCTCATTTAATCCTGTAACCACTAAGATTAATAAGCAGCTAATTTCTTTAAACATTATCACCCTTGATTCAGACATTAAGGTCATGATAATAAAGGAAATGATCGCGTTCTCAGGAAGCTCTTGATTGTTAAACAATTCTCGTACCAACTAAATGTGTAGAGAACAGTATAGAGAACTTGCATACTGATGTCAGTGTGTGTAGGGTTAATTTCGATGCGGTCTGATTTCAACCTGCTATATTGTTTACAGTACAGTGGATCTTTAATAATGAAAAATATTGCTGCAAGTCACTTCATGCGATCAATTTTAACAACAATAACTCTGCATCACTTTTAGGAAATAAAAGTCTGATTTTAGAAAATATATTGTCATTCAGTATTCATTGCAGCCCAACAAAGATGCACCAACATCTTAAATTTGTTCAGTGTTTAGTTTTCAAAGTCACACCTTATAAAAAGCAGAACAAATGTCTATCCTGACTCGCCCCGGTTGTCTTTGCCGCGCGCTGCACTAGAATGCGAGGTTGAGAATTAATAGTTGATGGAGTAAATACAACATTACACAAAACATTTTGCGCTTTTGCATGCGGACTCGTCCCAGTTGCCTTTGTAGCACACGGCACGTCAGTGCTGGAGGTTGAAAAGAAATGGTTGATTCGAAGGAGAAAGAGAAAAATCGACCTTATCCACAACACTTTTCGCTACCGTGCGGACGGCGAAATAAAGAAGACTGGGAACCAATCAGTTCTCCAAATCCTTTAATGTATAAATAGTTGTCTTAAAACAGTCGTGGCCCTCTTAGATTTAAACGCCAGGATTAAGTCAATCTGCTTATCTGACAGTGGCTTCATGTTCTGTAAGAAAAAATATCCAATGTCCTTTGCACCAGCTCGAAATCGTCATTGACTTCTCAGGTTACGCTTATGTCCACAGGAGAAAGGAACGTTACGTGACTATTTGACGAAAATTCTGCCACGTCACGCGCAAAGCATGACCTATCCACCACCTTGCAAAAACCTACAGGTTGCTAACGGATGTTATTTTGCAAAATGTGTCCACTACAGACATAGCTGAGTCTATGCAACCATCGAAATTCGAGTGAGAGAACGCATCACCGCAAGCAACCAGAAGCGGAGAGTTACACAACGCAATGCATCCTGGAGAACCATCAACACCGCGTGACACTTGAGAATACCGCCATCTTAAACAGCGACTGTTCACGGGTTCTGGAAGGTCGGGAAGTATTTGTTTCACGTGTGATATGATAATCTCTTTAACATCATTCATGTCCATCTCTAAATGTTCTATTCCAAACGGCACGCTTGTGTGTGCCAGGAGAGATGGGCCAATGTCTTCAGGATCTGAAAGAGAGATTACAATGTTGGTAATTTTTGTAGTTCGGTGTACACCAATGGCTTTCATCGTCATGGCGCATCCGGCCCCGCGCGCACTTTATCAAAGATCTAACAAGGGCCGTATATGATAGCGTAGGCGGGGCCGTAAAAAGCCGTACGGACTCACGTGCTACCAGCCAAAAGAAAAAAATATTCTGTACAACACTTATTGACTGAGTAAGGTCAGCCCGACAAGAAAATTTTGGGCTCTCGGTCACGACACATGGACCTTATTGCACCTGGTCTGTACATCAAGACCTCAAGCCAAATATTTTCCCGTCTGACCTTCCCTCTC